TATGGACTTCATGCATCACTATACATCTCTATGGGTCTGTACGCATCCTTGTGCATCTCGATGGGTCCTGTCTACATCTCTATGGATCTCTATGCATCTCTATGGGTCTCTATGCATCTCTGTGCGGCTCTATGGGTCTCTGTTAATCTCTGTGGGTTTCTATGGATTTCTGTGCATCTCTGGATCTTTATGCATGTCTATGCATCTCTATGGGTCTCTATACATCTATGTGGGTCTCTATGCATCTCTCTAATCTTCACTCTCATAACCGCCCACCGCCCACCGCCACCACCATCACCGTTATTATGCCGCGTCAACCCATCACGGATTACCCGTGTGTGCAGGGAAATTGAGTTTTCAGATCCGTACGGCGTACAGCCGTTTCAATGCGGGCAAAATAAAATGTGTTGTCTATTCGTTTGTGTTTCTCCCTTGCGATGGGACTTTGTAGGATGAACGTTGAGATTTATAAGGGGCACGGGGTGACCAATAAGGTCTGAGTTGGTCTGTGAAAAGGTCGGGCACTGATAAGGGGTTGACTGGTTTGCGCTATACTGCTCATATTTTCACATTCTCATCACGTGGCTACGGCTCACAATGGCCCCGATTCGTTAGATCCGTTCATCATCATTGGCGGTGGTTTCTCGGGGTTAACGGTGTTAATTGGTTCCACGAAAACCACCGTCAATCTAAATAATCGTCAATCGAACGTAGGAAATAGGCGATAAAGCGGCTTCATTAGTTCCAAGACGATCGGAAGTTGACCCTTTTCATCCCTAAAAAAAATCCATAGTAAATAATATTTAAACACTCAATTTTAATCAATAAAACGTCGAGAGAAAATATCGAAGCATTAATATTAATTGAAAGATGGATGAATAATGAATGCGTAAATAGTGCATTAATGAAAACAAAATTCTTAGTTCAGGCTAAGAAGATGGATGGGTTAAGAGGTTAAAGGAGAAGTTTGGGTGGGAGACATGTCATGCAATTGTTTACTTTCTTGTTTATCTTCACATTAATTTTAGGGGTCATTGTTAATTGAACGTTGAAAAGCTTAGCGAGCCCAGCTGCTCTCAAAATGTTCACAGCAGGGGACGTCGCCGATTGGCCGAGCTCTGCCGCAGAGTCCACTTAAGGGGCTCTCCGATTGGCCGCAATTGGCGGGTACCGCGTGACATCGTGAAACACATCCGTCGACACGAACATTTATCGGCAATTCGAAGCAACAGCACCCCCCCCCCCGCCCGCCTGCCCGACGGGAGGCGGATCATCCATCGAAACCATCGCCCATCGACGGCGCCATCGAAACCGAGCCAACGCCGCGCTGTCATCAATTTCGCCTTCGCCGATTTCCAGCGTCGTCGCAGATTCGCCCACCAACCCACCCACCCATCCCGTCATCTACTTCATTCATCTCCGTCTCCACGTCCACACACACACACACAACAACAACAACCGCCATTCGCCACGACGCCTGTGCCAGGCTATGTGCACCTTGAGGCCACGTGAAGTGTCGAACGCCCGCTGGCAGGAGGTCACGTGGCAGACCCAGTAGGTGCCACGGGTGGACTGACTGAGATGACTGGCTGATGCACCACCTGTGCCCCCTACGGTGCCAACTTGCTGTGCTTTAGTCACCCGGCGCTCCGCTCGTTGTTGTGAGCGTCGCTCCTCCGCCCTCCGTTGTTGTTGGAGGGCGACTGCCTCCAAATGCCCAGTGGCAGCATCCTTCACGAGCCTCCTCCACAGAGGCCGATCTTGACACCGCTGGTACCAGTCATCGGCAAGTCCGCTCAGCTCCACTGCATCAGCTCAATCTCTTCTCTAGTCCATGTCGTGCACGTTTAGCCCCCCCTCTATGCGGCCAAACAGAAGCTGCTCAGGCATGCGGTGGCTGGGCACACGTACCTACACGCACGCTCACGCCACACATCTGCAGACACCTTTTGTCTACGTTTCAATCACGAATATGTTGAGTTCTTTTTTTTTTGTAGCTCTCTACTCTCTGGTCGTGTTTAAAGCAGAGCCCATGGACCCTTCACGTGAATCCCAAAGCTGTAGTATATTGACGTCAGGACAGCAATGTGTTTCTTGGTTTCGATTCATCCTAAAATTCTTGGTAAGCAACTGGAAGCAGATGCCCGAATTGGAGGCGAAATATCTCATTTTTAAATTTAGATTTAAAGCTTTCATGACTGCAGGGATTCATATTCTTGGTTCTTTCGGTAAAGTCACGTAGAAGGGAAACAATAAAATAATAAAAATATAAAACAATAAAATTTTCACGACGTTTCGACTGCAACACAAGCAATCATCATCAGGTGTGAAAACCACAGCAAGAAAATTTGAAAAAATTTGTCATTTTTTTTTAACCGCCACTTTTTTCCAAATTTCTTGCTGTGGTTTTCACACCTGATGATGATGATTGCTTGTGTTGCAGTCAAAATGTCGTGAAAATTTTATTGTTTTATATTTTTATTATTTTATTGTTTCCCTTCTACGTGACTTTACTGAAAGAACCAAGAATATATATCTCATTTTTAGTTTTGCTTCGGGGCATTTTGCGTAGTATTTTATATAATTATTTTTTTCCCCCCAACAGAAGACGGGAGAACGGCGACTCCCATATCGTTTGGTGAACGCCGCCGCTGCTGCCACGGATGCCGGGTTACAAGCGGTGCCCAAGGACAGACCGACAAAACTCCAACACATTCATCAAGCAACACGACAAAGGTGGCTAGGAGATGTTGACTACCTCGCCTGGTGTACAGGAGTGCGTGGGTTCGATCCTGACCATGACGATGCCTGCTGCTGTGTATTTGGAGTTTGCGTGTCTCTCTCTCTCATCATCATCACGGTGGCTAGGAGATGTTGACTACCTCGCCTGGTATACAGGAGCGCGTGGGTTCGAACCAGACCCTGATGCCTGCTGTATATTTGGAGTTTGCGTCTCTCTCTCTCTCATCATCATCCGTCACCAAGAACCACCCCTGGAGATATTAGTGCTTCTCCGGCCGTCTGGAACGCTCTCTCTTACTTACGGTGTTAGGAAGCCTCTGGAGCTGTGCACTTTTAAATCATCTAGATTGACAAACTCATTTCTTTAGAGCTGCTATTTTGTGTTCAGTCTCTTGTCCTTCCTTCACACCTCCGATTAGCACGGGTCGGCTACGCGGGGTGTGAAACGAGTCCAACGTACAGACATACGTTCCCAATAGTCCCCTTTTTGCAGTTCACATTTTTTTCGTTAATATTTCGTCGAAACACGCTTTTAAAGGCTGCTCGCTCCGAGAGACGTTGCGTGTTGGTGCAACCCCGAGCGAGCGAGCGAGCGTGCGTGCGCCGTCAAGATGAACGGAAAAAAAAACACCCCTGGGGGGGGGATTGATAAAAAAAAGAAATTCTGGCGTTTGTCGTGCTCACACAAAGTGGGAAAACGGTTTTCAATTAAAACGTCAAATACATTTTAACATGAGCAATGGCTCTTACGTTAATATAATTAATAATAACAAGACGATATATTTTTTTTGTAAGTTCATCAAACTTTCAATTGCCATTCATGACGCTGTCCAGCCCATGTCCAGATATTTTTTTTCCATTCAGGGTGAAGGAAGGAAGAAAAATGCGTGGGAGGCTCTGAAAAAAACTGAGAATATTTTTTTCGAAGCGACGGATAATATCGCCGTTGCGCCCGGCACAGCCGACGGTGCTGCTGGCCACACGGGCAAGCTGCGTGCGTGGGTAGTGCGCTACGAATCCCGGCGACCCGAGCTCGATTCCCGCTCACGGCCAACACCGGTGACGATTATCTGAACCGGTCCTGGGCCTCCCCTAGGTCGACTCAGCCTCAAACGAGTACCTGGTGCATTTTGTGAACATCGGTACTCGGGAGACAAAGGCGGCCGGGCGCGGTGCTGGCCACCCACCCCCTCGTGCGCCGTGCCGGCCTTCGCAGGTGCTGCTACTCGCCAATGGCACTTGCCCCAACAGTCCGTTGAGGCTATGCTGTGCGTGTTATAGTTTCCGCCGCTATCGAACACTTTAGTCGACTCTGCAGATCAGGCAAACTCAGGCAACCTCGATGAAAGATAAAACTTCTTATAAGTGGAATTTTCTATTTTTTTTTCCTTCCTTTGGTGGCGATTTTGTGCGTATTTGTGTATGCATGCGCGTGCTGAACTTCTTTCGTACCGTACGTAGTCGTGCTCATCGAAGGTGCGTTTTTTTAATATATATAAATCTTGCACGACCCCACTATTGCTCGTCGGGAGTTATAAGCTAGGACGATGGCAAAAAAACAACGTTGTGAATACAACTATAAAGTAAAACTATAAAGTAAAACTATAAAGTAAAACAAAACCATGGGCAGTCCCCCGCACTTTTACGACACACTGCGGTTCCTGGAAACTCCGTCGTAAAGCGGTGATGTGGATGGCGGTGATGGGGATGGCGGTGATGGGGATGGCGGTGATGGGGATGGCGGTGATGGGGATGGCGGTGATGGGGATGGCGGTGATGGGAATGGCGGTGATGGGGATGGCGGTGATGGGGATGGCGGTGATGGGGATGGCGGTGATGGGGATGGCGATGATGGGGATGGCGGTGATGGGGATGGCGGTGATGGGGATGGCGGTGATGGCGGTGATGGGGATGGCGGTGATGGGGATGGCGGTGATGGGGATGGCGGTGATGGGGATGGCGGTGATGGGGATGGCGGTGATGGGGATGGCGGTGATGGGGATGGCGGTGATGGGGATGGCGGTGATGGGGATGGTGGTGATGGGGATGGCGGTGATGTGGATGGCGGTGATGTGGATGGCGGTGATGTGGATGGCGGTGATGTGGATGGCGGTGATGGGGATGGCGGTGATGGGGATGGCGGTGATGGGGATGGCGGTGATGGGGATGGCGGTGATGACAGTGATGGTGGATGGCGGTGATGCAGATGGCGATGATGGGGATGATGGTGATGTGGATGGCGGTGATGTGCAAGGTACCTTCATGTTGCCAAGCCTCCTGCTGCGATCAACGACGAGAAGTTTCCGAATAAGGTCCCTGAAAAACACGAATCGCAGGTTACATCAGCAAGAGCAGAGGGAAAAAAAGTCAGAGGGTAAGACCCGCGATAACCTGACAACAATCATGCTCGGTAAGTCAAGATCACAGCGTGTTCCTGCTCAACCGAAACCGCGTGTGCGTGGCCGCAAAGATCTGGACACAGTCCCATCGGTGAGCTCCTCCGGCACGCAAGGCTGCGCTGGCTGGGTCATGTATTCCCGCATGCCCAGCCACCGCATGCCCAAACAGCTTCTGTTTGGCACGATTAGAGGGAGCTAAACGGGCGCGGCACAGGCTGGAGAATAGATGGGAGCTGATGCGGTAAGGGAGAGGATGTGGAGCTGTTTGGACTTGCCGATGACCGGTACCAGTGGTGTCAAGATTGGCCTCTGCGGAGGAGGCTCTTGAAGGAGCCTCGTGAAGGACGATGCTACGGGGCAGTTGGAGGCAGTCGCCCTCCGGCAACAACGGAGGGCCGAGGAGCGACGCTCACAACAACGAGCGCAGCGCCGGGCGCCTAAAGCGCAGGGGGAGTCTGCACGGTCGGGGAGCACAGCTGGTGCATCGGCCGGTCATCTCGGTCGGTCAAACCATGGCGCCACGTGGCTCTGCTCCGTGCATCGCCCCGCAGCGGATTCCTAACATGGGGAGGAAGACCGCTCCAGGCGGGTGCATGAAGAGCGTCCGAAAGTGCCGCGCGGTGGAAGAGGCGACGGTGGCGTTTAAGGAATGGGAAAGGGGGGACGGGTTGGACAAGGGGCCTGGAGCACAGGGGGTGAGATTAATCGATAGCGCCAAACCGAGTCTCAAGTGTCTATTCAGGAGGGGGTCCTGCCGAGCGTTCGCAGCCGGAGCAAAGGTGGGGGATCGATGTTGCTTCACAGTCACCCCAATTCAGGTTTCGACCTCGTGCGTATTTTGGTCGCATTGTTGGGGCGTCTGAACGACGGCAGCTACGTCGCGACGTTTTTGCCTGCGTTCGGCTGCGCGCAGGAAACCCCGGAGAACCCGGAGATAAACCTCACGCAGAACAGCGGGAGTGAACACAGACTCGGCACACACACACACACTCACACACACTCACACACTCACACACAAACTGCTATGATAAGCCACGTGATAAGCCACTTCGTTGAGCTATCTTTTGCGATAGCCAAGGTCGCTTCTGAAAAAGAGCTACACAGCTCAGGGGGGGGGGGGGCCTTACCTGGTAAAATATTTACAGTGAGGGGAAAAAAGTATTTGATCCCCTGCTGATTTTGTACGTTTTCCCCACTGACAAAGAAATTATCAGTCTATAATTTTAATGGTAGGTTTATTTGAATGGCGAGAGACAGAGTAACAACAATAAAAATCCAGGAAAACGCATGTCAAAAATGTTATAAATTGATTTGCATTTTAATGAGGGAAATAAGTATTTGACCCCCTCTGCAAAACACGACTTAATACTTTTGGTGGCAAAACCCTTGTTGACAATCAGAGGTCAGACGTTTCTTGTAGTTGGCCACCAGGTTTGCACACATCTCAGGAGGGATTTTGTCCCACTCCTCTTTGCAGATCTTCTCCAAGTCATTAATGTTTCGAGGCTGATGTTTGGCAACTCGAACCTTCAGCTCCCTCCACAGATTTTCTATGGGATTAAAGTCTGGAGACTGGCTAGGCCACTCCAGGACCTTAATGTGCTTCTTCTTGAGCCACTCCTTTGTTGCCTTGGCCGTGTGTTTTGGGTCATTGTCATGCTGTAATACCCATCCACGACCCATTTTCAATGCCCTGGCTGAGGGAAGGAGGTTCTCACCCAAGATTTGACGGTACATGGCCCCGTCTATCGTCCCTTTGATGCGGTGAAGTTGTCCTGTCCCCTTAGCAGAAAAACACCCCCAAAGCATAATGTTTCCACCTCCATGTTTGACAGTGGGGATGGTGTTCTTGGGGTCATAGGCAGCATTTCTCCTCCTCCAAACACGGCGAGTTGAGTTGATGCCAAAGAGTTCCATTTTGGTCCCATCTGACCACAACACTTTCACCCAGTTATCCTCTGAATCATTCAGATGGTCATTGGCAAACGTCAGATGGGCATGTATAAGTGCTTTCTTGAGTAGGGGGACCTTGCGGGCGCTGCAGGATTTCAGTCCTTCACGGCGTAGTGTGTTACCAATTGTTTTCTTGGTGACTATGGTCCCAGCTGCCTTGAGATCATGGACAAGATCCTCCTTTGTAATTCTGGGCTGATTCCTCACCGTTCTCATGATCATTGCAACTCCACGAGGTGAGATCTTGCATGGAGCCCCAGGCCGAGGGAGATTGACAGTTCTTTTGTGTTTCTTCCATTTGCGAATAATCGCACCAACTGTTGTCACCTTCTCACCAAGCTGCTTGGCAATGGTCTTGTAGCCCATTCCAGCCTTGTGTAGGTCTACAATCTTGTCCCTGACATCCTTGGAGAGCTCTTTGGTCTTGGCCATGGTGGAGAGTTTGGAATCTGATTGATTGATTGCTCCTGTGGACAGGTGTCTTTTATACAGGTAACAAGATGAGATTAGGAGCACTCCCTTTAAGAGTGTGCTCCTATTCTCAGCTTGTTACCTGTATAAAAGACACCTGGGAGCCAAAAATCTTTCTGATTGAGAGGGGGTCAAATACTTATTTCCCTCATTAAAAGGCAAATCAATTTATAACATTTTTGACATGCATTTTTCTGGATTTTTTTGTTATTCTGTCTCTCACTGTTCAAATAAACCTACCATTAAAATTATAGAATGATCATTTCTTTGTCAGTGGGCAAACGTACAAAATCAGCAGGGGATCAAATACTTTTTCCCACACTGTAAAGTTTTTAATGGTTTCAGAGAAGACCTAAAGCCAGACGGTGGTGGTGGTGGTGAGACTGTAAAAAGAGACTGAGTTTTTTATTTTAATTTGGCAGTCAACTGGTGCCTGTGTAACAGTTTCAGAATCTGGCAGGGAGCAGGAGGAGATGGTGGTGGTGGCAGCGGTGGAATCAACAGCAACGTTTGTGACGTTGGCAACTCCCTCGACAAAACCACGCTCGCAAACCAAAATTTAAACACAAAGACAAAGATCCCCCGTGTAGCCTTAACAGACCGTTGGAGCAAGTGCTGTTGGCGAGCGCACTATGAAGGCCGGCAAGGCACACGAGGGGTGTGGGGTGGCCAGCACCACGCCCGGCCACCTTTGTCTCCCCAGTGGCAATGTCTACTACACACCACACAAGGTACTCATTTGAGGCTGAGTCTATCTAGGGGAGGCCCGGGATCCAGTTCAGATAATTGTCACGCACACACTCACTCGCCACATGCTTCATACACAGGATAAATGTCGCCCGGGTCGGGGATCGAACCCAGGCCCCCCCACCCCCCCTTGCTGTAGCGCACGAGCGTCACCACTCGTGCGCCACCCATCCCACCCATCCCACCCATCCCACCCATCCCACCCATCCCACACATCCCACCCATCCCACACATCCCGCCGCCAATCCAAAAACAACGAGTGAGCGGCGATCCGGGGGATGGAGGGCACGGGGGCGGACGGATCGCCGCGGTGAAGCGTCTTGGCTTTTTACACCCGTCCCTGCCCCGTGCCAAGACTAACACGGTGGGCCAGGTAGCGGCGGGAATGTTGGAATTTAATTTTGGCTGAAGTCTGGTCTGTTCTTTATTAGAACGCGCCCTTCGCCGCACAGGAGGTTGGTTCTTTTTTTCAACCACGGACACGCACGTAACAAAGACAAAGATCACGCCTCCCCTCCCCCCCCCGCATAGCCTTAACGGACCGTTGGGGCAAGTGCTGTTAGCGAGCAGCACCTACGAAGGCCGCCTCCGTCTTCCCCGCACCGAGTACTCTTTTGAGGCCGAGTCGACCTTGGGGAGGGGCCCAGGAGCGATTCGGGTAATCGTCGCCACTGCTGTCGGGAGGCCGTGAGCGGGAACCCAACCCACACCGGCGGGTTCGTGGAGCAACGCGCGAACCGTTGCCGTGACCGCTCCCCACTCGCGTCGACAATCCTCGGCATACACACAAATAAATAAGGACAAAGATCTCAGCCGCCCTCCCACGCCCAAACAAGTGCTGTTAGCGAGCGCCTTTTAAGGCCGGTACGGTGCACAAGGAGGTGTAAGGGTGTGGCCTAACGGGATTTCCCCTGCCGCCTTTGTCTTCCCAGTGCTGGTGTATATTTGGAGTTTGCTGTGTCTCCCTCTACTCTCCCTCTCTTCCCGTGGTCGAGTTGATTTTTCTCCGGGTCCTGCCGGGTTTGCCCTTCCACATTTTGCAATCGATGTCACGCGCGTTATTTCGCCGCCGCTGTAAATTTCCACGCAGCGACGACGACGATGATTAAAAGGTCGCCCACTTCGTTGAGCGACGATTCGTGATGGTCCAGCGTCGCATCCGACAAGGGAGCCACATTGCTCATTTTGGGGCTTAACCTGGAAAAATAAAAATACAAAAATCGAGGAGGCCTGAAACAAAGGTGGCATTGTTAAAAGCGCGCGATGGACATTACACACGTACCTAATATGATTCTTTATGGAAAGTCACTCCCGCGACTATCAATTATTTTCTCGCCGCAGACATTCTCACGCAAGCTGTTTTATATATTTTTTAAAATATATTTACGTAACTTTTTCTTACATATGCATATATACATAAAAACGAGTGGAGGTGCAGTGCTGCGGCTGTTCTTGACCGTGCGATCGCAGGGCCACGGCAGTGAGAGACCTCCAGCCCCTGAATCCCAAGAGGGTGGGTGTGGCCTCTGCCGCTTATCTGCTCATTCATTTACTTATTTTAGACCGGGCGCGTTTATTTTCGTTTCAGTCCACGCACCTGACAACAGGCACGTGACAACAGGTAACTCGCGTGTTTTACAAACGTGTGTGTCGCAGAATCAGAATTATGTATTTAAACTGCTGGAGGAATCCGATGAGCTATACGAACGTTGCAACGACAAACAGGACAAAAAATACGATCGTAGT